GCGTCAATGTTGTAAGCTTTTGTAAAAGAAAATAATAGTGAAGAAAACATCAACGGCGTGTGTTCTAAGTTCAAACGCTTGCTCGTAAAAGAAAGAAACACACAAACACTCTTATAGTATAAACGTGCTTTAAAGTATTGTATGCTTAGCCCTACAAGCAGCCGCATATTAATTTTCACTGCCCTTGCAATTTTTTTTAACACATAAGTATATATCTAAGTATGTGCATTAGGGCGGGTTGATATTTTTTTTTTATCGTATAGCAAAAACGTAAACTACATATAATTCTAAGAAAATTCTCCGAAGAAACCATGTATCTAAAATAAAATCCTAATCCGCGCCTCTCGACTTGAAAATTTATATGGCCGCCTTTGCCAAAAAAAATAAATGTTAGAAAAAATAGGTTTTTCCAAAAAGGAATCGAATTTTCTGAATAAAATTTGTTTAGTAAGGTAGTTCTTTTGCACTTTATATTTTTTCTACACTCAAAATTTGTTTTCATTAAAAAAAATATTCACCCAAGTAAAAAATTTTCAAGTCGAGAGGCGCGGATTAGGGTTTGATTTTAGACCCATGGTTTCTTCAGAGAATTTTCTTAGAATTTAATGTAGATTACGTTTTTGCTATACGATTTTTATTTTTTTTTCATCCATACAAATCAACCCGCCCTAATGTGCATATGTATGCGTTATAAAATATTTTTAACTAAAATATATATATTTTTAGACATAGTCTAGACGTTTTGACCGCGTTGAAATGCAGGCATATTCATATACTATATGTATGTATGTATGTGCAGACATATGTGTGTATATTTTCCATATATATGCACGTGTAATCATACATATCTACATATTTAAATAAGTATGCAACGTTGCGTAAAGCCCGTCATTTTACTTTTGACATTTTGACAGGCCGACAGGTTGGTCTAGTCGATCGGTCGAATTGTTAAAGACAGAAAAATTGTCGGCTTACTGGGAAACTCCAGGTAAGCTGTAAGTACATTTAAGTGAAAGTGTGTGGGAAATATGCATAATGAAGATTTGAAAGAAATAATACCTTTTGAACTAAACATAGAAATCGATAATTTTTTTATGAATTTATGTTGTGGGTTACAAGCAAAATACAAAAAATTCAACAATAATATCCCGGTTGCTCATTAAATATTGACAAACATGTCGCTCGTTTGCTGGCAGCAGGTTACAGAAACAGAAACTAATCCTTGCTAGTGAAAAGCAGAACCCCAAAAAGTCGTCTCAACTGCTTCGTGGCAGGCAGTGAAAATGCAGTTATCATAAGTAAATAAGTTAGCACAAGAAGTTACCAGACAGTAATCCAACAAGTAGTCAGATGCCTCATTGTCACGTACTCTCGAGAAACCTAGCAACCATGAATTGATTATACTATGTAATTGTCAAATCTCGTGTTGAGAGAAATAAGTCTACTTGACTTAACAAAACTTTTTATCAGTGGATAGTAAAACACGCTCGTTAGATTTTCAAACATAATTTAGCCGAGACTTGCGTTGCCAAACTAGTTTGAAAGTGGTTGTAGTCATCAGTAGGTTAGATATGCTAAAATTGAAGTGGCTGCCAGTGGCCCCACTAGCACGACTAGGCTCTTAAATTAAGTCAAAAGTTGCCGTATTCCTACTTCGGCTATGTCGGTTTAGCCTTTGAGTACTTCTAAACCCAAGAATTTTCGTCTTTTTTGCAAAGTACAGCATATTCTCATAACAGATGCTGCAAGCTTTCTGGCTCTTCTTCCTCTGTGCTAGTTCTGAATAAGTCGTTGTAGGGAACCCCTAACATCTCAATGTGCATTTCGATAGAAACATGGCTGTGACTAAGTGCCCTCTGCTAGATATAAGCAAGGCCTTCGACTGCTTCTCGTTCCACGTTGGTCCCGTAAGTTTTGCATTATTGCATGTAGGTAGACTTGCCCACCTGTAGGTTTATCTCTTAAGATATAAATCCCTTAGAAAGAAGAGCTTGCTGGTAGCGAGCGGCTTGCCAAAACCCGTCTAGGACTATGAAAGTGGAATGGAGGTACCCTTTCTTGCAAGTTGGCCGACTTTTCGTTGCATAGTATGTTCTGGTGCCCGGCACCCATATAAAGTGCGGCAGTCCGCTACAGTTATTAAACTGCATGTGACCGACTCAAACGCTTTGAGTGCCGCCCAGCTGTCCGATAGAAGAAGTTTAGAAGTTAGTTTGAAACACGCTGCAATAGTCGGATGGGCGACATGATTTATCCAGACCCAGCTGGGCTGAAATTTCCCAAACCATTAAATGGGAGTCTGCTTTTAACCTCATGACTGATGTAAAGCTGATTGATAATAGGTTTTATCCTTGAAGTCTAAATATATAGAATTCCTCTACGCGACAGATTCTACGTCTCTCCAATGCCTTTTTAACGCTGTTCAGGCTTTGGAGGTCTTTTGTTCAACGTGCGAATTCCATACAAGTTTACTATATATGATCGCAGCTAATTAGTTTACTTAACAAGAAATCTGATTAGTGAATCTTTTTGTGTAGGGGGAATGAGGCCGCTCAATCTTTGGCTTCTTGCAAAGAATACAACTCTAGTTTTGGATGGGTTACATGACCGCTCATTATCATTACATTAAGTGTAAAAGCTATGCAGTGTTCTTTGCGCTTTTTTGCAAAAAATCTGAGAGAGAGGCAGAATACAATGCCTGCATAGGCCCATGCATACCTATTAAGGTCGACAAGTAGGAACTCATTTACCGTGCGCCGCTATAAACTTCGTACGTGACATATTGACCCCCTTCCATATATTTTGTCAACACATTTAACAAAAAAGGTTAAGTTACTATGTAACTGGCGGCTATCTTTTTTTACGCTTTCGTTTACATTTGCGCCGCTCACGAAATTTAGTAAATTACTTTTTACCAATAACAGTAAGTGATATTGCCACGTTCTACTCATTAGTTTTTTACTTGTTTTTGACTCGGAGTAAATTACATTCATTTAGCTGTTTTCGCGTGTGTATTTTGTTTAAAATGCTAATAAGCAATTTATAACAAATTAAAAAATACATAAATTTTACCGCGTTCGTCATGCCACTCCGCCTACAACAACACAAATTATATGCTGTTTTTTTATTTACCCACTTACGTTCTTACATGAATTAATCAACATGCACTATTGGACGTACCTACATATGTACGAGTGGGTAGAGCTATTAAAATTTGTCTAATTATTAACTCCAAAAATGCTATGTAATTAATAAAATAGATTTAAAATGAGATATAGACAAGAATGGTGAGGGGAAAACGTGACAAATTATATACTGAATTGGCTAATGCTTGCAAATGTTTAGTAATATGCATTATTTCCTTTTTTGTTAAAAATAGAATAAAACTATTATGAAAGTAGAAAAGTAAGAACCAAAATAACCACTAAGCTTATTATCCAGCTTGAATGAATAATAAAAAAAAAACTGTGACCATTTTTCTACTACAGAGTTCAATCAATTTAGAGAGCTTAGCTGGATATTAAAACCAATCTATGGTGCTCATCCACATATTGACAAGATTCAAACACTTACATTAATATTTTTTTTTATAAAAATAAAGTATATTGTTTAACAAAAACCGTACAAATCCAAGTTTCAATCTTTATGCAACATTAAAAAAATCAACAACACTTCGTTAAAACTTCGAGCTTTTTAATTGGATTTTGTAGAAATATGTATTTTGGGTATGCAGTTTTGTAGCCAATTCAACTATAGTATAACGAAGTGCAAGTTTAAAGGAGCTGGGACTTACCGTTGATTGTTGGCAATTTTTTTTTGTTTTTTTTTTTTCAAAAATCAACGGTATTTTGTAGCCACTTGAAACTTGCACTTCATTGTACTAAAATTAAATGGGCTACAAAACTGCATACTCAACATATTTCTTCAAAATTAAAAAGCTTGAAATTTTTACGAAAGTTTGTTGGTTCTTTTATATGTTGCACAAAGATTTAAACTTGGGTATATATGCCTTTTTTTAAGGAGTATACTGTATTTTTATTAACAAATAAATAAGTTAAAAAAATATTAAGATAGATAATCTTAAACTTGGGTTTTTTGAGGAGTATACTGTATTTTTATTAACAAATAAGTAAGTTAAAAAAATATTAAGATAGATAATCAAATCTTGTCAATATTTGGGGGCTGTAAAGTTATGATAAGCTCTATATTATTTAAGTTATTTTATACTCGAAGATTAGGGTGCTTTTTTAATGTCAGAATGGCACATCAATAACACATTTTCGAGCATAGACTACAACTACAACTTCACTCACGCATATAATGCAGAAAAACATTTCAAAAGCATTCTCAACGCTCCACAAAAATTAAAGCAATGAAAATTTGTATGCACTTACATACATATGTATGTATGAAAAATACTCGAGAAATATACATAAATTGAAAATTTTCTAGTGCGTGATTTGAATGTGAGCGCATAATTGTTTGTTATTTCGTCATATAGAGCTTTAATATTATAGGTACTATATAGTATCATACCAAAGCTATTCTATGTCTCTTCAGCATACTTGATTGAGTTTCTAGTTGAGGCCACTCACAAAAAGACCGAAAAAAAATTATTCTATTGGAAAAAAAATTCTAAAAATGTTAATAAAATTGCTTTGAACTTTGCGCACAGCCCACACACAGCAGGCATTGCAAGTGGAGACAAAAAAAAATTACCACTGTTTTAGGTATGTTGAGCGCTGGGTACGTGCTGGCTGTAGTAAGCCTGTACATAAATATGTAACTGTAAATTTATAATTCATACATACGTATGTAGTATGTGTGAGTACATAGTTATTTAAATTTTACACGCTCACTTACTACATAAATATTTAAAATGCAATAAATATCTTTAACGCAATTACATTTTTATTATGCTTAACTCATGTGGCTTATATTTCATGTCATTTAAGTAATTTTTTTTTCATTTTATTCTTTTTCTTTTCATTTATAGCGGCCTCCTAGTTCACAACTGTCATATGGTGGCGCCATGAACGATGACGCTAGGTCGCCGGGCGCTGGTAGTACACCAGGCCCACTATCACAACAACCACCTGTTTTAGACACATCAGACCCTGGTAAGTGTGGAATTGTAAATGAATTTTAAATTAATTTCAATAGTAAAGAAATGTTTTAGCTGTAAAGGAGGAAGGGAACGTTGAAACTAGGAAATCGGTGGTACTTGAGCGTAATAACTATTTTAGTCATAGATTTTATTTTAGTGAAAATCTACTTAAGCAGCATCTAGTCAGCGGAAAGCATTCTGCAGTAGGTGGCGCTGGAGTCGTAATACTTCTAAAAATAGTATTTGCAGTTATATTTGATTCTTATTGAATTCCTTACCTACATACATACATTTGAATGTAAAAACCTTTGTATAACTTTTACCTGAACAAAGATAACAGGGATATTCTGGCAAGGGTCTTCCAACTGACCGCAGACTTTCGTAAGACAGTTCACAATTCTCACATGTTGCCTTTTTTGCCCTTTTTAAAATATTTGCCTTTTCTGCCTTTAATTGTAAAGTGCAAGGAAGTAGCCCTTAATCCTGATAATATGAAAGTTTTAAACGTTCCATATTCAAATGGGCGCCACTTGTATCAACTCACGTCGAGCACGCGTTTAGTACATTCAAACTCGAAAGAAGAAAATAGTCAAAGGTTCAAAGTACAAATTTTTCATATAATGAAACTAGTTCATAGTTTTTCGCTTTTTACTTGTAAAACAAAAATTTATAAAATAAATGAGGTTGTTCACACTTACCTGGTTATCAGTTTATCTGGCTAAAATTTTTTATTATATAGTGTATTTTATTGTTGTAAATCGAATAAAAATATAACCACATAACCAGATAATCTGATAACCAGGCAAGTGTGAGCCACCTCAATGTATATTTTGATTGTTTTTCGGTTTTTGTCTTTTTTTGTGCCTTCTTTTGCATTTTTTGCGGTTTCTGGTACCTCGTCCCGCCTATTTCGCTATTTTAATTTGCCTTTTTAAAGGTTTTTAGGTCCTAAAAATCCGTTCGCTGGTGATGACTTTTGCACCACTTTGGTTTTAAGTTTGAAACCAACGTTTTTTCACATAAGAAAAAAAAAAAAATCATTTAGTTTAGCAGCAAGAAGTGTGACACAAAGCCCTTAAATTTTTTTCTGGATAGCACTTGCATGCTTCTAAAAGAAATACCCTCTTTAATGAGCATCATTAAAGCAACAATGTTGCCTGAAGCAATTTTGCATACATTTAATTAAATTTCCAACACCTAAACGCCATTTGAGCGATAAAATTCTGCCGCAAAACCAGCTAGCTGACCAGATTTAAGTAGAATTCCGCAGTCATAAACATTTGTAGAGTACGCGGATTATATCTACTAGTAAATCAATAGTAGGTATTAGTCTTGCCTAATAAACTTCAACATAAATTCATCATTTTAATTACTTTAGTAAAATTGCGACACGCCTAGTTTATGTACATACACACATACATATTTACGTAGTACATACATATGTAGTGTATGTACATACATATATTTAACCTAGTGTTCAAAAAGTTCGCTACAGTAACAAAGAACCAAATAGAGCCCAGCCGCAGTAGTAAGCGTTGTGATGGCGGCAAACTTTAAACAACGCACAATTGAGCGCAAAATTTTTGTGTCTGAAAATAAGATTCATAAAATCTTAAAAAACAAGTATTAAACTAAAAATGTAGCAAAGCAAAGAATGGCTGCAAAGCTGAAAATCACATTTTTACGATTTTTTACAGCCACTTTTGGGCGCTTAAAGTTGTAAGCTGCTTTGTGCACAAAAACATAAAAAAGCCAACACGAAAAAAAACACTTCAACAAAAAAAAAAACTGAAACGAAAACGATCTGTGAAAACCTTGCGCTATTCACCAATGATTTGGCAGACAGATGGGCGCGCATGTGCGTCTGCGCAGAAAATGCATTATCACTGCCCTGTTGTTGAGGCGCAGTGCACCGCGCGCGCAGCTGCAACAATGGACGCCCGGCTGTAATGTGCCTGTAAGTGGCTACAAAGCTGTGGCGCAAGAATAAGCACCAGCGTGCGCGTAGCTACAATTTTTGCCTATCACCGTAAATAATTCATTGCGTTGCTTTGCAGCTGACGTAGCGCTGAGGTAGTGAAGTAGTAAAGGTGAAGGTGTATGCGCGTGCACTCCACCTACCTTCGAAATAACGCTGAAATGGTACTCGATAGAAAAGATGCACTTTAAAACCCTCTGTTTTTCTTTTGTGTTGGTTTTATAGCTGGCAAGTATGAATGTTGTGTGAGTCCGATTTTTGAAGTGCTCCAAAGGTGTTGCTGTAACAATTGTTTTCATCTTTCGTCTCTTTTATGCATCTCTGGNGCATTATCACTGCCCTGTTGTTGAGGCGCAGTGCACCGCGCGCGCAGCTGCAACAATGGACGCCCGGCTGTAATGTGCCTGTAAGTGGCTACAAAGCTGTGGCGCAAGAATAAGCACCAGCGTGCGCGTAGCTACAATTTTTGCCTATCACCGTAAATAATTCATTGCGTTGCTTTGCAGCTGACGTAGCGCTGAGGTAGTGAAGTAGTAAAGGTGAAGGTGTATGCGCGTGCACTCCACCTACCTTCGAAATAACGCTGAAATGGTACTCGATAGAAAAGATGCACTTTAAAACCCTCTGTTTTTTCTTTTGTGTTGGTTTTATAGCTGGCAAGTATAAATGTTGTGTGAGTCCGATTTTTGAAGTGCTCCAAAGGTGTTGCTGTAACAATTGTTTTCATCTTTCATCTCTTTTATGCATCTGTCTGCTTGTGTGTGTATGTATGATTTGTGGAAGTAAAGTGCAGTGAATGGAGTGCTACATTGCGCGGGCCATTTTCAAAGAGCTTTTCTTGAAAGTGTAGCTGCCGCTGCAATAGAGACAACAGCAGTGGCTTACTGCGGGTTTGGCGGCAAAAGTGCCAACATTCAAGAGCTTACCAGTTGTAGTNCCCCCCCGGCTAGGCACTTATATAACTGGGTGGTTGAATACAAGTGTAGCAATATTTAGTAGTGGCGTCGGACTGTCTGCTAAGTTGGAGTGAAAGTTATGGTGAAGTTATGTACTCACTTTATCAATTTTCAAAAGGGTAAGTGAAGTGGAGTGGTTTCTTGGAACAAAATAATTACTGCTCAAAAAAAAGCTGAACACCAGTTTTTGCTGCTGAGCCTAGTTCAGTAGATAAACGTTCGAACGAAATTTTGGTTCAGTGAGTTAAAGGCCACTAGCGAATATCTCATAGCTTTAACCTACTAGTTTTTTTTTATTGTAGAAAACACATATATTCTATACGTCAAAGAATGTTTAAACTTCAATAACATACAACAACCACAACAAACTCTGTTGTAGCTTTGGAAAATGTATTTTCTTTTTAACCGACTTCGAAAAGAGGAACGTTATTAATTCACCGAAGTATTTTATTTATTTATATTACCGTATAACTTTGGACAAAGTGAACCGTTTTCGATAATTATATTTTATCGGAAGGGTGGTACCTCTAGGGTGGTCCCACGTTAATTTGGTTTATTTCCGATCATTTTCGCAATAACGAAATTTCGTATTTTGATAGTTCTCATCCACACAAGTACTCATCTTCTGAGACCTGTGTCTCATTTTGGGTGTTGTGGTTTTCAGGATGCACGCAGATACATATACAAATTAAATCTGAATGAAGGGCTGATTGTCTGAAAGACTTGCTGTCTTCAGATATATGTACAGAAATATGTATCAATGCACAGTTCCGCACATAAAATAAGTTTGGTAATTTTTGTTGAATTTGGAAACTTTTTCTGGGGATTTTGTTAAAAAATAAAAAAAAATAAAAATGTTGTGGCAACACTGATCACGGCTCTGGGACCAAAAAACAGTTATGGAGCTATACTGCGTAGTTAGCAGGCGTCAGTCAGTCTTTACATACAAAAGGCCTGAGCTTAGATCTTACTGCTTCCCATAAAGTAACTAGCGCNCTGCTGAGCCTAGTTCAGTAGATAAACGTTCGAACGAAATTTTGGTTCAGTGAGTTAAAGGCCACTAGCGAATATCTCATAGCTTTAACCTACTAGTTTTTTTTTTTATTGTAGAAAACACATATGCTATACGTCAAAGAATGTTAAAACTTCAATAACATACAACAACCACAACAAACTCTGTTGTAGCTTTGGAAAATGTATTTTCTTTTTAACCGACTTCGAAAAGAGGAACGTTATTAATTCACCGAAGTATTTTATTTATTTATATTACCGTATAACTTTGGACAAAGTGAACCGTTTTCGATAATTATATTTTATCGGAAGGGTGGTACCTCTAGGGTGGTCCCACGTTAATTTGGTTTATTTCCGATCATTTTCGCAATAACGAAATTTCGTATTTTGGTAGTTCTCATCCACACAAGTACTCATCTTCTGAGACCTGTGTCTCATTTTGGGTGTTGTGGTTTTCAGGATGCACGCAGATACATATACAAATTAAATCTGAATGAAGGGCTGATTGTCTGAAAGACTTGCTGTCTTCAGATATATGTACAGAAATATGTATCAATGCACAGTTCCGCACATAAAATAAGTTTGGTAATTTTTGTTGAATTTGGAAACTTTTTCTGGGGATTTTGTTAAAAAATAAAAAAAAATAAAAATGTTGTGGCAACACTGATCACGGCTCTGGGACCAAAAAACAGTTATGGAGCTATACTGCGTAGTTAGCAGGCGTCAGTCAGTCTTTACATACAAAAGGCCTGAGCTTAGATCTTACTGCTTCCCATAAAGTAACTAGCGCTACTCCTCTCAAAGCGACAAAAAATTACCCCGACAATAAAACGCTTTCTAAGCATTAAACCCACTATCTACTTAATAATACCCTAATATTTTTCACTTTTACCTAATTCTTTGCTTGCCAATTGAGAGCATTTCAAAACCCTTTTCAACAATTTGAACACTTTCAGCCGTCATTCACTTAAAACGTTACGCAAAAGTTAATTTGGCAAAGTAGCGAAAAATTACCCGTATCAGAGTAGTAACAGCAATAACGGCCACACCTCTTTTCCTCATGTCGCA